TAGATAAGGAATAGAGTGGGGCCTAGGATGGAGCCTTGAGGACACCTGCGTTCGTGGGATAGGAACTGGAGGAGAATCCGTTGAGAACGACCTTCAATTCTCGGTTTGACAGGAATGATTGTATTAGGTTATATAATCGACCCGTAATGCCATAACACTGGAGCTTGCGCAGAAGGCCGGCATGCCAAACCCTATCAAATGCTTTGGAGATGTCAAGTGCCACGGCTCGGGCTTAAAGCTCTTTTGTTTTTGAAGTGATAAAAATTATAAGCCACTTCTTGCCCCAGTTAACAATTGATAAGAGGTTATTTTCAAAATAACTTGCCAGATTTACTTTGTCGGATGTATTGGGTTTACTGTTAAAAACATAATTAATGGATATGTTTTAATCCAATAGTTTTATTACATGAAACTTTAAAATACTGGATATTTTTTTTATTTGAAATAGACACCACTTATTTATTTATTCATTTATTAATGTCATAGTGTAACACACCTATTCTATAGTAAATAGACACTCCCACCTATAATAAGTAGGAATAGTAATAGTAACGAGCTGTTCGCTGAGTAGGTCGGTCAGTCAGTCGATGCCGGACGACCGTTAGTCGGATACTAAAGTATCAGCGACCACAACTAGATTACTCTGCTTCATACCTATTATATTATATATATGAAGTTCCTAACGTTTTGTAGGTCGAACCTATTTTAGAACCGACTTAGTACAAATACAAGCCTCCACGGTGAAATCACTCCATAACAATTAAACGGTGTATAATATGTCTATTGACTTTTGGATTCGAGATTTAAATAAAATCATCCACTGGCAGGGATCGAGCCTTCGTTCCCCTTTGTATGGGAAACCACAATTTGATCTGGCACACTTTCCCGCTTTTTACTAAATAATTAAAAATTAATAAATAATAAATAAGCAACGAGGAACTCTTAAATAATCCAACAGGGACCAAAACAGAAAGAGATGGCTGACATATTGAATGTACATGATGAGGAAGAAGGGATTGGAAAACTTAATCCTCACAAGGCATATCGAGGGCGAGAGAGACAGTTAAAGGCAGAGAACCTTCCATACGAGGAAATCTGTTAATAAATTGTGGAACGGGGTAGGGATTTTGGCAAAGAGAGAAATACTGCCAGGGCCACAAGTGAGGAGAAGTTGTGGAGAGCTATGATTATCCATGTTCTGAATGGACACGTCACATAGAAGGCTTAGACGATTACACCATATCGAAAGATAAGAATGAATAATTTTATTAATCGAATTTCTATTTCAGTGGGGTCTGCCTGCTTAGAAACACACAATTATAATAAATTTGCGTGCGATCAGCGATAAACTAGCGGTAAACTAATATCTAAAGACGAAGAAGGGCCTTGTTCAGACTAATGATAGTTTGATTAGTTTGTTTTTTTTTTTGTTTACAGCTTATGAACCGTTCGCCTAACATTTCAAGCCAAAAAATATTCTCTTAGTTTCTAAGTTTGTATTTAGAATAAGATAGCAATGACAGGAGAAACAAGTCTTAATAATTAACCCATACCGGGGGGATGAAAGTTTGATTATACTTTTCCCAAGGGTATTTTCGTGTAAGTGAATATAAGGAACCAAATTGAAATTGGAAAGTGGGTCTTCGCTTTGACAGAGACAATTATATATATATATATATATATATATATATAAGAAAAGAAATGAAAAAAACACCAAAAGTAAGATGGAAAATAATAAATGGAACAAGAACTTGTAAAACCTGGGATGACCCATGCCCTTTATGCCTACATGAAAAACTACACATTATTAAGTTTCTAAATAATGAAAATTATTAAACCCTAGACATGAGTTAACGGTTTTTTGCCGACATCAACAAATTTTCTCATTACATAACTTGCATAAAAAAAATTAAATTTCTTAGTCTAATAAAAGTTTTAAAAGCTTAACCAAATCATAAGATGGAAAAACCCTTTACGAATTCGTCAAAAAAAAAATGTTGTTCAGTGCGATGCGTTTATGTAAGAAACAGCACTTTAGAAAAAAAACATAAATAAATAAATAAAATAAAACAAAATTCTCTAGCAATTTAACGACATATTATGGTGCCGAATGTTATCTTTCGCTGCGACTGACCAGACGATGCGCGTACATGAATGCCATCATTCGCATTGAAATTTACACCCCGACCCAATCTCGGCTTGACTTCTTTTCGAAGGTGACTAATATGTGGATAAAAATTGACTCTTAGCCCCCTTGTCAAAATGACTGCCCAAGCCGTTTCCATGGTAATTAATTTTGCGAATGAACATGCTTATAAAGATGCGTAAATTTTAAGATTGATTATTCCTAAATTTTCGCTTGAGGATGAAACAGAGCTTGATACTTTAACACAATTTAATGTTAATAATTATATTGAGGTTTTCGGCTCTCGGTTTTGAAACATGCAGCGAAGGAATCATATTTTCAAAATAATAATTATAATATATATATATATATATATATATATATATATATATATATAGGGAAGAAGATATAGTCCTTCCAGCGAGAGAAAAGTGCATCTTTTAAAAAGAAGTGAAACTGCAAACTTTTTTGGGTTGAAATGTGGATCTTTTTTATTTTAGAAAATATATTATATTCTATTGCCCACAATTCTGCTACAATGGTTTCTGGTTTTGCGAACTTCTTCAAGCAAAGACTATGTATTTCCACATTTTAAAAAAATGATTTTTTTGCGTAGCAGTCATTCAAATGTCTTTCTTGAACTGCAGATAAGAGTTTATATATATATATATATATATATATATATATATATATATATATATATATATTGCATGTAGTTCTCTCATAATTGACAAATGCAGTTGTTGATTCTGCTATGCCGTCATAGAAGATTGCTATGCGACGGTAAAAGTCACGTAATATAAGACGCAAATCGTAAGTACATAATACAGTCCTATGAAGTCGTACCACTCTAAAGAACGAAATAGTAACAAGGGAACTATATATATATATATATATATATATATATATATATATATATATATATATATATATATCCCCCCGCCGAATTCGACGTATGAGGTTCAAGCAGCTTAGTTCCTAGGAAACCGACAGCCCGACAACAGAGATTTGATTATAGTGGTGAAAGTTTCGTGCAGGGCCATCCACAATTTTTGAATGGCCGAATACAGAGACCTGGTGCACTATGTGCCACAAGGTCCCCAAACGACCCTCCGCAGGTTTTGAATTCAGAGTTGTCCGTCTCCTAGACGAGTTTCCATCAAAGGCTATAGAACCCAGTGTGTCCTACTATTTACCCATAGCTTGAGGGAGAAGAGGATTCACACCGTTCCGAAGGGTATTAGCACGTAAATGAATGTAATAGATTCGACTGGAATTCGAACTCGGCTCTCTGATTCCTCAATACACTGTGCCTATATATATATATATAGATAGATAGATAGATAGATAGATATCAGGCACGTGCCATGAGTAATTACGCAGAGCAATCAACTTGTGAAATTTACGTAGAAAATCTACGAAAAAATATTTTGAAATTTATGGCTAATAATCAGAGTAAACTTCATAATTCTATTGACTTAAATGCACATTGTACCACAGAAGGAAAATGTAGCTACTGATCTGTTTCAGGCTAGGCACTACCTACCTTGCCTACCCAGAACGGGCACGTCCCTGATGGTTCCATCGCTAAACAGGAATTACCATGTTTCAAAAACAGAAACTAAAAACTTCAAATTTAATTATAGCATTGAATTGAAAAACCTAGTACTGTTTCATTCTCAAGCGAATTTTGGAATAACTTATTTTGAAATTTACTGAGTTTTATAAGCACATACTTTCTTAATATTAGTTTGTAAGGGTACGGGGAAATTCAATAATTTTACAAGGGGTGGTAGGGTATTCATTTTCACTGACATCTATTGTAGCAAAATATGAGTTACTTTCGAAATGAAGTTAAGGTTGGGTAGGGGCGACTGTTCAACAAATGTTGACATCTGTTTTTCGCATGTCATTTCGTTTTTTTTTTCAATTACAAATAATTTTTCGCCACTTTTGTTTTGCCGTTAAATTTTTGATTGTATACATGAAGATTTTTTTTCCCAAAACGGAGGTTTGAATATGAGTACTTATTAGAAGGACATTTTATAGATGGTTTCTCTAGATGATGTCGGTTGTGGCGACGCAAATAGCTCAAAATGTCTGCGGGCTCAAAATGTCCGCGGGTTACCTGCAAGCTATTCTACATTGAGTATAGTTTAACCTTCCGACAGCAACTTGATTATATGAACGTTTAGTTTTATGATGTCCGAGTGAGTCTACTCTATAACAAACGCTGAACGAAATTTTTTGCTGGGTATTATATTGGTAGATGGATGTGTCTGCCCACGTCTGTGGCTGAGTAGGCCTTATCTTTATTAGACCATCGATCTAACCTTAATGATCACGTGGACATAGAAAATGATTATTATTATTTTCATATAAAAAAGAAAGTCCATTCTTTATTCAGTATTATGTTCATTTTTTTTTTAAATCATACCTCAAGATGCAAATATCGACTATAGCTCAAATATACACCTCAAAATAATTGGTCAGCTTCCTAACCATCAAGCCAACTTGTGACACGCTCTGTTATGATTGTTCTGGCATGAAGCAAACGAATTTAGGGAATCTAGCGTAGATCGAACTTATACCATTCGAAGATTTGTCTGCGAGACGAGTTTTCTCAACATAGCTCCGCATAATGCCCCTCTTAATATATATATATATATATATATATATTTTTGTATGTATGTTTGCTTGTTTGTTCACTTTTTTTAATAGGTATCTATTGCCGAGGAATATTATCTCCAACAAAGATTCTATTTAACGTCAGCTTCTTTTACAAGAGCCCGAGCGCATTACTGCGAACATGCTGTGTCATTTTTTCACAATGGAATTTCTTTGTTTACACGATTTTTGTTTTCGCTGCTGATCCATGTTTCGAGCAGACTTTTTGCGATTGTATCTTTCGTCGATCTCTTTCTGTGACCTAAAAAAAAAAAAGTTTTTGTTTTTGTATAGGTACTTCGAAACTATCTTCTAGTACGAGTGTTTCTCTATTTATTTTTCCCTGGGATAAAAATCCTATGTACCGAGGTAATTTACTTACGCAACAGCGCTCTGTATTTATCCAGCATCACTGTCTACTTTTTTGTGTCTATTTTCTTGTATTTTTTTCTTCTTTAATTTTTTTTTTCGATATTGTTTATTTCTTTCTTTCCTTCCTTCATTTCGTTTTTCTGTCTATCATTCTTTCACTTTGCTGCTGATAATCGTTCTTTCTTATTTTCTTTCTTTCCTATATTCTTCCTTTTGTTGAGATTTCATTTATTTTCTTTTTTCCTTATTTCCTTGCTTACGGTTATATCCCATTCAAACATCGGCTCTCATGAGATCACCGAAGTTAAGCAACGTTGAACCTGATCACTACTTAGGTAACCGCTCTTGATGCTGTATGTTTTGATGTGCGGATGTTATAATGAAATTTAGCTCGCCATTAAAAATAAGAAAGCCCTCGAATACAAGTCGAGGGCGTTCTATTTACTTACTTACTGTTGGTAAATGTATGAAACCAACTTTTCTCCTCACAACTATGGGCTAAATAGTAAAACTTTTATCAGAAAATTAATATTATCTCAAAAATACACTTACGATCTAAAAATATTTTTCGGCTTAAAAAAAAAATCTTAAAAAGGTTGATAAGACGTAAAAAACAAACCAACCAATCGTTTTCTGATTACCTGAACCGTAATTTATTTCTTGCTCTTTTTTCTCACTTCTCCCTTTTTTTCTTGCTTTTCCTTCTCTTGACTTGCCTTCTCTCTTTCATTATCTCTCATCTCACTCTTTCTCACTTTCTTTTGGGTCTAGCCTTTTCTTTCTTTTCTCACGTTTTTATTTCTTTTCTAAATTAGCAATTTCTTGTCTCGTCTCTTTTTTCCTTTCTTCTCTCGATTTGTTTTCTTTTTCTATCTTTTGTTAGTTGATCTCTCTTTCACCTTTTCTCCCTTTTATTACGCGGCTCTGATCCTTCTGTCCTCTGCTTTCTCCTGTCCAGTTCCTCTTTCTTTGCCTTTTATTTCCACCTTTATCCCCTTTTGTCTCCTCCATATTGTTCAACGAGATTCTCTTCTTGTTCAATTTCTCGCGGTTAGCTTCTTCACTATTTTTATCTCTTCAAACTCAGTCTCAACTTCTTCCTTTCTCTGTTTCATTCAGTTTTTTTTTAAATTAACTCCTTTATAAAATTTTTTCTTCTTCCTCTTCTTCTTCTACTACTACTACTACTACTACTACTACTTCATTTATTTTGTACCATATCCATTGCTCCTCCAGTTTTTTTTTCTTTTTTTCTACGAAACTTCATCTTTCTTTGGATTTTCTTTTTCTTCCTCCTCTCTCAAAATTATTCACCACCTTCCTTATTTTCTTTAACTTATTCTTCCATTAATAGTCTTTCTCGTCTTACTTTCCCCTCATCCTCTCTCTCTGTATTCAGTTGTTTCTTCTCTAATTAGTCATCATTCTTCTTCTTCTTCTTTTCTTATTCTCCTTTCAAACTTTCACCTTCCTTCTCATTTTCTTCTCATCTTCCCAAATCCTTCGCCACCTTCTTCATTTTCCATTAACTCATCTGTTTCGCAACATTCTCTTTTTTCTTTTATTTCTTTCTTTATCCCTCCCTCTTCCTTGATCTCTATCTCCCTGTCTACCTCTTTCAGGTGTTTCTCCTCCGGTTCCTCACCGTTCTTTTCTCCATCTTTTGCCACCAAAGTATTGCGTTTTCGGCCAAGACCCTAGTAGGTCTGACGTCACAACTGCCGTAGGTCTATTGCTACTTGTGCACACATTGGCTCCGCTAATGAGACGCAACATCTAAACGCAACCAACAAAGCAACTACAAACGTTAGATGGCGCAGTAAAAGGCCTGCTGGCTGAAGATCAGCGGCCAGGCAAGCCAATAAAAAGAATGCCACTGTTACTTTGGAAACAGAATAGAAATGATGCGTAGGATGGGCCAGGGAGAGATAGAAGGTTGGGTCGAGCAGTTAATGGCAGGGGGTTAGTGTAATTGTGTTTTATCTACATGCTCGTTCGAGATGATCTATATCTCCGCTCCTCTGTCGCATCCGTTGTGAACAATAGGCTATTTGATGAGAAGCACGGGACTGAAAACTCCGTGGGGACTTCGATGATCGGGATTCTGGTTTCCGTTTGGTAATCAATGCGATGGTTTTTGCTGAAAAAGAAACAGAAGGACTAATAGACAAAAACGCCCTGGTGAGAGTTTAGAAAAGAAGAGAAGAGTAAGAAAAAAGTTGCGAATGGAGGATGGGTCGGGAAAGAGAAAGACCAATTAACAGCTGTACAGTGTGTGTGTGTGTGTGTGTGCGTGTGTGTGTGTGTGTGTGTGTGTGTGTGTGTGTGAGAGAGAGAGAGAGAGGAACATGGGAGGTAGAGAGAGAGAGTGGTAGAGAAATAGAGTGAGGACAGATTTTTTTTTTTTTGCAAAGAGAGACACTACTGCAAAGAGAAAAAGTAAAATATAAATAAAGTATAGATAAATTTGAATTATACATCTAAAAAACATTTATACAAATAAATCATAATAGTCAAAATTATGGCTAGGATGTAAATTATTATTAGATAGAGAGTATATGTATATCAAAATAGAGACAAATGAATACAGACGAGAGAAATGGGGGTCTCGAAAAAAAGAAAGCCTACCGAAAGATCAAAAATTATATTTATAAATAAGATTAAAAAAACCTCAAAAACAAAACTGCTTTCAATTACTCACCATCACTGCCTCTCATTAGAATGTCTGACACTCAACTCCTTGAGAGCACCTCTTTGCGACTGCAATGGACCGAATACATTGAGTCAATTGCTTCGTCCACCGCTATGAAAGTTGGCTTTCTGTGCCGCACTATGATTTTTTTTTTCTTGCCGGAGTCGATTCTTCAAATCTACAAATCAACCATTCGCCCTTGCATGGAGTATTGCTTTCCATATATGGTCTGCAGCACTTTCTAATTGTCTCAAGGTCCTTGATAAAATCCAAAGACGGATATACAATGTAATTGGCCCTGATCTCGCATCTCGTCTGCAACCGCTCTCTCACAGACGTGCCGTTGCCTCCCTCTGTCTTTTTTACAAATACTTTCACGGTAACTGCTCAGATGAGCTGCTTTCGCTGGTTCCCAGACTTCATGAATTTAAGCGTTCAACTAGGCTGGCATCCCGCTCTCACCCTTTCACTGTCGAAACTGTTAAATGTAGCCGTCTCTTCTACTCCAATGGCTTCGTGTGTCGCATTTCTCGCCTGTGGAACTCCCTCCTCATTTCTGGTTTTCCTGATAGCTATAATCTCCCACTATTCAAATGTAACGTCAATCGACGTCTCCAGATGCCCTGATCTATCCGATAACCTTCTCTTCATCCTTTCCTCTATCACTCTTTTTCTCGCTACAACCCTCTGTAACCCATTGCGTGCCAGTGGCTTCCCGCCTTGCTTGTGGTTGAATGCTTAAAAAAAATTCTAATGAGTCTCATTGTACTTGTCTGAAAATATGGCATTATAGTAGAATACCATCAGAGTTCTGAGCTAGCAAACATTTGGTATAATTGTTATTACTATAAATGTTATTTCTAGGTATAGATTTTTGAATAGCTGTCTCTGTTGTTTTTTTTTTATTTTTATTTTTATCAAACAGTGATATCAATAACCACTTTTCTCAATTGACAAGTCTTACTAACAAAACAAAAAAGCTCCTCCAACATTAATCGAATTCACACCACTTTTTCCATCAGGGTAACATTTCTTTGAGCCAATGTGTCACTCTCCTTATTCGGCCAAGAAGAACAACCAGAAAAAGCAGCATTGGAACCATCCATTAAAGAAAGAACGTTTCCTCGTTGGGCTTCTACAAATCTATGTCCGTTAGCTTCAGTTTTGTAACCGAAACGTAAAAACAGCAATTTGTGAAAGGTTTTTATATCCGACATCTTTCTCATTATTGAAAACTATATTCTTAAATTACAAAAAGAAAAGAGATGGCGACTGAAAAACTATACCCACTAAAAATAACGTTGAGATTAATACGAAACTTTAACACCGAAAATTGACAAGATATATAACTAATACATTTTGGCGAGTAATCAGGATTTTGTGAGGTCTCAGTTGATCGGGGTTTACTTCTCTAATTTCAAACTGTCCCTCTCTAGGGATATCATACTCACTGGAAGTATATATTTCAACTCACACTTTACACATGACATTTACATACTTGTTAGTTACGTGCCAGGCGGTCATGTATCTTTTGATACATGACTGACGAGTAGATTTTTGTCCCGCAGTAGGTTGCCATTTCTTTCTGCGGTAGACCAGTTGGCATCTAAGTCTATAGAACGTGGTATCTCCTGTTATTTATCCATAGCTGGGGGGAGAAGAAAAGAATTCATACGTTTTCCAACGGTGTTAGCACGTAAGTAAATGTAATGGATTCGACTGGAATTCGAACCCAGCTCCTCATTGATTCCTCAAACCGAGCCGCTCTCCATTACTCCACTGTGCTTGCTATATACTTGTAAAATACTGTAATAGAACAACCTCTCTAAGTAGATGCTTCTGAAGCAGCTTTATTTAACTGATTCTGCTTTAGCGCTGAAAACGTTTATTTTATTATAGTGGATGGTTACATGCAAAAGGGGAGATGGGATGTACTTGTTTTATTACTGAATATACTGACCCCAGTAACGGCAAGTATACTGAGCATTTGTTAGAATTTGTTCTCCATTAATCATCTATGATAACAACAACCTGGCTAATGCTCGTCTCCAGAAAACTGACTCATAGCACCTTTTCCGGTTAATGTTTACCGCTGACATGAAGTGGAAAGATAATATTGAATCATTTGCTAGGATTGCTGTTATGAAAGTTAGGTCACTATGTCGTGTTAGACAATTTTTTTCGCCCGAATCTATCTTCTATATTTATAAGTCTACCATTCGTCCATGTTTACAATGCTGCTGCCACATATTGGATGGTGCTCCTGATATATATTTAGAGATCCTTGATAAAATCCAATGAAGAATATGCAATGTTATGTGTACTGAATTGTCATCTTGGCTTCAGTCCTTTTTTTTTTCCGACAGCCATTATGTAGCTTTCCTTTGTGTTATCTATAAATATTTACATGGAAAATATTCCGATGAACTTTACTCTATGTTACTTAGACTCTATGAATTTAAGCGCAGTACTAGACTGGCGAAAAGATCTCATCATTTTATATTTGAAATGGCTAGATGTTACCGTAAGTTCTATGCTAAGAGTTTATTTTCTCGTACATGTATCTTATGGAACAATCTACTGGCTTCTGGCTTTCAAGTCAATTTTGATCTTCAAAATATTTTAGTTTAGTGTCAGTCGTTATTTTTTTTCTTAATTCCTCTTTTATTGTTCTCGCTCCTTAGTAATGTTTTTACTTTTTCTTATATTCTTTCAAACTTTCGGCGTTTTAGTGGCTTTGTTCTCTTGCTTGAGTTTAAATGATTCAAAAAATATATCAATTATCTTAGTTTATTAGATCGGCTCTGTATTTCCTGAACTTGAGTTTTTATCGCAAAATCATTTAACTTTATTCAATATCGAGATATTAGGTTTCTGTATGCAGAATTCTATGACACAGAGAATGAAAACGTTGGTTTAAACCTGACTGACTCTCTGGTAGTTGTGAGTTTCAATCCTTGGGATTTCTAGTATTGACGGATCACATAGGATGGTTCATTGGAATAAAAGAACTCGTTTGGTTTGGTTTGGTTCGGTTAATTCCATATCAACTCATGTGTTATTTAATGGTGATATTTTTTCTTGTGAGCTTTGGTATTTTTTCCAATAATGTATTTCTTGTAATTTTTTCTTCTTTTATTCTGGAAATATATTGCTGGTAATTTTTCTAATATATTTTAGATTTTCATGTTTTGGCCCCAGTTTTCGGGTTCACTATTTGCCCGTAGATGGGACCCTAACAAGTGTTACCCCCCAAGTCAAGGTTGAGTTGTGAATCAACACCAGTTAAGAGTTGATTCCACATTACTGAAAATCACCCGATCAGAGGCACTGCTGCCGGATGCAATTTATCGTCATACCCAAGAAAGGAGACACGTCGAGGTGGTTTAATAGTTAGCAAGCTTGTTCTCGATAGAACAATTACGAATGAGTAGTGTGTTCGATCCTCACTGGGCGCCCCATACATTCGGCCTTGTGCCACTTCTAAGGTACGCTTGGAAAATCACTATACCCAAGAAATAAATAAAAAGGACAAACGAGACAAAATAAATAAGACTTGCATTAACAGATATGAAATGTTCCCTAAACCTTGAAATCGTAATGAGAGCAGTTAACCCATCGTGGATTGTTTAAATTGTTCAGTTCGATATTTTACGAATCTCACCGAGTAAAAAGACATCTGACGAATAGTTCAAAGACAGAAACTTTGCAAGTATAACAAACAAGACATATATGTTGATCCCGACAGTAAAGTAGAGTATAATTAATATCAAGGCTTTGTGATTCACACTTCTACCTCCCTTCAGATTCAGCTTAGGAAATACTTGAAATATTTACTATAGGAGAGGAAAATATTCATGTTCCCTACTAGTGTCAGTACTTAAATCCAGATAAAAAATAAAAGTATCAGTGCAAATAGAATATACACATGAAAATATCTGCCTCAAAACCAATATTTTCTCTTGTATTCTACCTGGCTGTGGATATTGAATATTAAATAAAATTGATG